GCCGTCGTCGCGTCTGTTCGTCGGGCTCGTCAGGTTTAGATAGGGTTTTATCTTTAGGTTTAGTTAGGATAGATAGGAAGGAGTCTAGCTTCCATCGTCTGATCCGGCTGCACCGAAGCACAGAGAAGAGGCAGCGAGGACCAGAGGACTTCACGGAAGGTGAACCGACCGTCTTCGTCCTCCATCCGTGCTTTGAGGGATCTCCTGGGCTGTTCCTCTCCCGTGGCTTTAATTAGCCAACAGATTGTAGGTCGAGATCAGCCGACGAGGGACACCTAGCTGTCCTCCCTGAAGGCTTTCAACTAGCCCTAAGGTCGCAGGTCGCTAGCACCGCATCAACCGTCTATCGTCGTAGACTCTGTGTAGGTATAGGGGCCTGGAGGGACTTCCCCTCCTGGTCCATTAGTGTAAAAAGGGGACTGCCCCCTCATCTGTTCATTTGAGGTACTGCTTGTTAAATTTGTTTGTTTTTAATAATATAGTCTTGTGGTTTCCAGTTTAAATCCAAGTCTCCAGTTTTCATTTGCGCGCCATATAAATCTAAGATTGACACTCCTGGTGATCAGATACGGGTTTGAGAGTCACTACCTTATATACCATCCCTTGCGGATGAGCCGAGTTATTAGATAACTCTCGGGGAAGTTGTCCTTAAGACATCCTTCCTAATTCTGTCAAAGAGATACCGTAACAGGACCCTCTCCTTCGGTGGCGGAACTCAACTCTTGCAACCACATCCCACAGTGGAGAGGTGTTTTTGGCTTGCCCCTCAGTCCCGACTGGTCCAGCTATGGAGAACACAAAGAGGGAGAGGTGGTCAGTCATCCATCCTCATAGAAAGAGGAGTACCGCTGTTGGAAAAAACCCTCTGTTGTTTTGATTTACTTTCGAAATAATGCAATTGCAGTGTGGACATAACTCAAGTTTTGTCAGAAAAACAGCCATTTTTCAACAAAACTCTAGTGTAGACTTACCTTCAGTCATGCGGCTTCAATCTCCCTTCCATTTTCTGATATTCCTGCATCACTGCTGTACCACTGATCTGCATGGAATGATCGGGGTACAGCACTTGTATGCAATGGCAAATATTTCATTTTACCTGATTACATTTCCTTTTCTGAACTGTTTACAGTACTAGCCACATCACATTTGAAACTTAAACTTCTATTGAAGTACATACATGTGTTTCTAAATGTCATCTTTCTCTTAGATTTAGAGTGATTATTTGAATTTCTCACATATATGAGAAATGTACAGCTCCAAATATAGTGAAATATATCCTACACTTCTGTATCCAACATGAAATCAAAAAATGAAACTTTTATACAATATAAACACTTTTATTTGCTCTCCAAAGATAATTGTACATAACATGTACAGAATGTAATTATAAACTGAATATTTAATTTAAAATCAGAAATTATAAAACACCATACATTTCTAATGTGAATCAGTTGCAGCTGGAAATCCATTCTAATTCACTTCTTTGAAAGTTTGCATTATAGACAATATCTTATCATCCCTTCCACAAAGGAATTAAGTGAGATTTATTGAAAGTATAGGAAAAAGTTTACCCCCACCCAAATTATAAGATAGTAAATATGAATGATGTCAAAGTTTAACTACCCAAACCAGTGTTAATTACCCATCCCCAAATCATTATTAAACACAAAAATGAAATAAAAATTATTGTTTATTATCTGAAATGCTTGTAACTTAAGTTACTGGGTAGTACAGTATAAGAGTGCCTCCAAGTGGCATGTGTCTAAATTCCATTTGAAAAAAAATAAAATTCAAGATGCTTAAGGAATGAGTTTACATAAACAGTACAAAGAAATGCTATAAATGCTTTTTATCAGCTTATTTCTTTTGATATACTATTATAAATATTTATATGTATAGAATAACAGAACCCTCCACAGGTCATTGAAAACTCACATTGGATGTGCATTAATCATAAATTGGTCTTTAGCGACTACATCTGTTCGTGGTCATTGTTAGATTTATTTTAATGGCTAAATAACACTTCCTAATAAATGCTTATGATACTGCCCTATATTGGATAAAGGAAGTGTCTCTTACTTTGCAGCAGCTACTTTTTGTTCAGTCTACCTACACTGATGCTTTTATGGAACTTCCCTGTTAAGTGCGGTACCCCATTGTCCCAGCTGGTATACAAGGTAAGGGCAAAGTTCTCATCTCTGATCCACACTATGGATCTCTTATGCGTACTGTGGGTCTCTGTCATATATTTTGTATGTGAAGTTTCCATTGATGTCAATGGCGGTTCTTTGGAAGGAGTGAGTACAGAATACGTAATGGGGAGACTTTGCCCTAAGACTCAAGGTAAATTAACTAGAATGTATGACTGAAAGGGAAGATCTGTGGAATTGGTGAGCTGTGATCCTGTAGTACTGGAAAGAATCTAATAGACTGTACTCTAGTACTATGGTAGATAAGATGATAAACTTTGTTGGCACAGCCATACGGGGGAAGATTGCAGGAATTTTAAGAATTGCGTTATTTCAGATTCTTTTAGTTTTGGCTGTTATATAGATTATACTGCAGTTCCTCTTAACACAAACTGTAATAGATGTTTATATATTTTCAGGTTAATTGGCTCAATCTGATTATATCTTTTCTATCTCTAATGACCATGATATGTGGAATGTCCCTGGAAAGTGTACTTTGTCATAATTCTGCAGGCCTACTCACCAGTAGAGACCTACTCACCAATAGAGAAATTCACCCAAGCGTATGGGGCTTTGTATGAACTTTTTGATCCTGGCAGAATTTTACTCAAAGTTTGAGCTCCCATATGTTCTATGATCTATTTATTCATGTAGTCTATTTAAGGTAATCAATTTATTTTGACAGGGGAAAATAATTTAATGTCAAGAAGAAAATAACACTCAAAAACACGTACTTGAATTTAATACAAGAAATGATTGTCAGTTTATAACACCCATCAGCAGAAGAATGTATTAGTAATACATTAATATGGAGTTGTATGACCACAAACTTTACAGTTTATATATAGATACTGGGAAAGTAAGAAACTGATCCTTAATTTATGGTGAAATAGCATTGCACCTACACAAGCTTAACCTGGATTTAACTGGCTGCTTGTTGAGGCAGAAAAAACAGTTGGTTTAGATATGAAAGGCATAGCATAGAATAAATGTAGATGTTGCATTTTTAGTATAGCCCCACAGGTGTATATATAACAGAAATAATATAGATACTACCTCTATGAACAGTTTACTGTCTAACAGAACTTATCTTACCAGCTGTCTGCATATAGCAGGCTCCAGGTCTAAGTTTAGACACAAAACAAATGCCACATTCACACCTTGGGGGAAGAATGGACAAAAGTTATAATAATCATGTGGTTGTAAAATGTGTCCTGAGGCAACTTTTAAGTACATTTATAGTTCTGCTTTTCTGTCAAATTTTTACTTTCCATCTTGATATTATTATTGTAACTCTTCTGCTGGTAGCAGTGAGCAATGCCAGGTTCAGCAACTAGCAACATTCTCTTAACAATATAACCAAACTGGCTCAAGCTTCCAGCAGTAAACTGGGTGCTTTTAGAGGCAATTCTTCCCCTCTCACAAGCATTGAGTTGGAGATAGAAACAGTTTGTTTAATAATGGTAATCTAGTATCAACCTATATAACATAAACAAATAAAACACGTAAGCAACGTATCATCCCTGGAGTCTGCAGAGCAGTCTTTTGCTTAAAGATCTTTAGTCCAACCCCCAACTCATATAGTGTGCTTTCCCCTTACTTCAAACACCTCACTCACAGCTCTGTCCAGTCAGTGTAGACCCAGAGTTTGTAGGTACATGATCATGACATCTCCCCTCACTGAGCATGTGGCAATGCCACTTATGTGCTCCCAATGGCCATCTGCCGCCGCTTCCTCCAGCCACACTACCAACTGCCTGTTGGCTGCCTGCTGGCTGCTCGCTGCTGCTCCCACCAGCTACCCTGCCAGCCGCTCCTGTCGGCTGCCCTGCCAGCCGCTCCTGCTGGCCCCTCACCAGTACTGACCTTGCAATTAATTTGGCTCTGGGCCAAACCTAGTGATTTCAGATCTCTGTGATTTCAGCTTCCCAGTGATTTCCCAGCATTCACTGGAATAACATTTTAAAATAGAGAGTCTCCTTATGAAGACTGTTTTACTTCTAT